AAAATCGGTTTGTGTCTGATTGCCAATTACCAATTAGTATAAGCTTTCATTTCCTTTAAGAGAGTGAAATATGATGAAGTTTGGTTTAGATTTACCCTTGAATTCATGCAGCAGGGCTTTGTTTTTGGAGAATTGATAATATTGAATCTCCCAAATAAGGGGGAATTGTATTTTGCACCCAAAAGATTTAAGATTTTTTACTTTACACCCTCAAAGATTAGATATTTCATCAATATATTAAATATGAGGCCCTCAATTTCACTATTATACTCTCAAAATTGCCATTAAACTCAAAACACCTCAATGCCATTTGGTTTATCTTGTGGAATTGCATCCCATCTTTTTCCATATATATATATATATATATATATATATATATAATTGTTTACAAGGGTGACGGTAAAGTTATTGCTTTGTAATCTGGAAGTCGAGGGCAGTCTCTTTGTATACGATAGTAAAATTAAGCATACTTGATCCTCCCTATACTCAGCAGCGAAGGGAACATCATACATTGACTCGTCTTTTCAAATTTGTATTTCTTTAGTTACCTGCCCAGGGAAGAAGGCCAAGCATTGGTGCATGCAAATATGTTATGTAAATACCATAATCTGTTCACTTAGTAAGACCTAATTAGATATTATTGCCAAAGTGTGCAATTTGAAGAATGACAAGAGGTAGAATGAGAGAGAAAATGAAGCCGAGTTTGTGCATGCATGCATGCATCGCCAGTAAATCAACCCATCCTAGGGTATTCCTAGCTAGTCTCCAGTCTCCGGTCTCGACCGAACTTGCAACCTATGCTCTCCAATGGGGGGAGTTTGGGGAGAAGACAAAAAAGGGAAGAAGGAAAGGGGCGTGTTGGGCTTTTGTGCAGTCTAGTTTTATGTTGATCCGGATGATGACCCGACCCGAAAAATATTACGTGGTTTTTAATGAAAAATTTTATGAGACTTAGTCTATGGAGCGAAAACTTGGGCTAATAAGGGCTTGGGGGCAACGCCTCCGAGGAAAATTTTTGGGCCTGTTTGTTTGTGGCCTGGTGTAAGCCATATAAAACCTTCTTTCTTTTGGGTGATTAGGGTTAATTTGATTCTGTACGGCCGCCGCCCTCTCTGTAATCGTTCTTTAGAATAATGAAACCCCTGCAACTTCGTGGACGTAGGCAAATTATCGAACCACGTAAATATTGTCTTGTGCGTGTGATTGTTTTTCTTTGACGTGTGTTTTCTTTATTGTTGTTTCTTAGAGGTTTGGGAATTTCGGGTGTATTTCCTAACAGGGGCGCTGGTTTTAAATCGCGTAACACGTCAGTTGGATTAATGTGTTTTATAAAAATATCAGTTTAATTGACAATTTATTATAAAATTAAAAATTGTGTATCTAACACATTTTTATTTAAAAACGTCAATCTAACTGACATTTTTTAATTTTTAAACTACCTAAGTTTGGGAAAGATTTTCAAAATCATTCGAGTTTTGAGAGTAACTTTTCCAAACCACCCTGGTTTGGTTGTAAGTAATTAGTTTTATTCTAAAAAACAAAGAGAACATGTTACACTAAAACTACACACCCAAACACATCACTAATATTTTAAGTATAGTAAACTTTGGGTTTGGTAGAGTTGTTCATCATAAGGCAGATCTATCGATGATGAATGCTGATTCTTGATGAGACATATCTGGGAGAAAATAAATCGGCGACACGTGTTATCGGCATCGTTATGATTTTAACCAGGCATGACCATGTATCCTCGATGACACTCACCCCCTCTGTCGAGGAGATAGTGCTTGGAGCCGAGGGATCCCCACATCAACGTAATCAGCACATGTCCTCAGTTCGGTAAAAACCTTGACTCCTCAGGGTAGACAAATGTTTCTCGATACCGAGTTGTTCCTTCTGTAAATTGAATCCAACCTCTCCTCTGTTTCTACGAAAGATAATGATTGACTGATGATTAGCCTAAGGCAAACTAAACTAATCATCATGAAGATGCTCTGCTCAATAGTGTCAGGAGGAGCAGGGATGCAGAACACACAACCAAGGAGGAGTGGACGCGTGGAATTTGATATCAAATCAATAGCAAAAAGATCTAAGTACCCCTGTTGACACATGACTAGAGCAAGTATGCATTTAATGAATCCCTTTCTTGATAAGACAGTATTTAAGGCATAAGGGCTGAAAAGTGAAAGGTATTAAATGCTCTCATGCCTGGGCATTTAATGCTCCCTTGCCGAGGGAAACGCATTGAGTACTCGACAGGCCGAGGGGAAAGCGTCAACTACTTGGCGCCCCGAGCAGTTAAAGCTGAACGCATTCCCCACTAAAGGAAAGGGGGCACACTGTCCTATCTCTAATGATTGCCTATTAGCTATATTATCAGTAATGATGAGCTTTTGAAGGTATAAATAGTCCTCAAAAACATATTGCAAAGGTACGCAAGAACTCCCAAAAAAAATCACAGTGCTTTCTTCTTCTCTTTTCTCTCAAAGAACTGACTTAATCGTCGGAGGGGATACACCGGAGAGTACTTCGGCACCCTTCTAACCTGTTTTTCTGTGTCTCAGGATTCCCCTTCAGTCTTTCAGGACCGGTCAGACGACCCAACAAACAATTCATCACCAGTTCTTAGGGCTCTTTTGTCCCTCTTAACCTACTTCTTGTTGCTAAAACCCACTTTTGGATGGGTCGAAACTCTACCGGAGGCGATCAGAGATTCTGAAAGCAAACCTTCCATTCCGTCGAAATTACTGTCTTGTCGAACCACAGTTCATCGTGGGAAAGATCGGTTCTTACTTCTATTGTTGTGCGAAAATCAGCACGTACAATTCTCATATGTTTTTGAGTGAGTATGGGAATCAAAATTATCTCTTGATCTCGAGTTTTTCATTTTTCTAGATCTTTTTAACAGAGAATTCAAGAGCAGAAGAACTACATTAATGGCAGATAAGGTACATCAATAACGTAACATGTTCGTTTATATATCACACAAAATACTAAAACAGACAAGAGTAAGACCCAAGTGAGATCAAAGTGGTAGCTTATTGCACTTGATAAATAAAATCAGCGTAAATTACTTACAAACAAGGTCGTAAAGCTTGTGCCCTATGCTATCCAGGAACTTGAAATAGAGGATTCTCCAGGACTGATTGAATAGCAAAGGACCGATCACAGCACCAAAACCAACTATAAAACCAAATGCCATGCTCAAATAGAACCAGTTCTCTTCAAATCCGCCACTATCTTTACCTTCATGCTCAACATTTGTTGTCCGATTCACCCCATCTTTGTCGCAGCTCTTTGTGAGCGGAGGTCCACAGAGTAGATTCCCTAAATAACTGGATTCCTCGAAGGTCTGAAGTTGAGGGCCTAATGGAATTTTCCCTGTCAAATTGTTGTAGGACAGGTTCAAGTGATTCAAGAAGGTCAAATTCGAAATGCTTGGAGGAATTTCGCCAGAAAGTTGGTTCACAGAGAAATCAAGAGATTCTAGTAATCCCATGGCTCCAATGTAGCGAGGTATCATTCCTCTTAAATAATTTCCTGACAAATTCAATGATCGCAATCCCAACAAGCTCGTTAGTTCCTCTGGTATCTCTCCAACTATATCGTTATTGGAAAGATCCAAACTTGTCACAAGGTGAAGAGTAGTGCTATATTCGACTTCTCTTCCTTTCATCACCAACGATTCTCTTTCCAAATTTAATCCATTTAGTGGAGAATAATATATCCGGTTATTTGATTTGCTCTTCTCAGCCATGGCACTGAAATTGTTGAAGCAACTCGGAATAGTTCCCAATAGATGGTTATGTGCAAGGTCCAAAATCTGAAGTGACGCAAGATGACAGAGTTCGCGAGGAATAACACCACGAAACTTGTTAGAACGAAAGTTGAGAACCATCAAATTCGAAAGATGCTTTCCTGCCCATGTTGGTATGCTTCCCCGGAATCCATTTTTACCAAGATCGAAAACCATTAACTCCCTACAATTTTGTAGGGAAGCTGGTAATCTTCCAGAGAGGTTGTTTTTGCCTAGGTGCAAAAATTTCAGGGAAGTTAAATTTCCAAAGGAGTTCGGTATTGTTCCAGTCAGATTGTTGTTTTCTAGTCTCACGGCTTCTAAAAACTTGTAATTCATCCAACAATCAGGAATTTCCCCTGACAGAACATTGTTGTCAAGAAAAAGATCTTGCAGTCTGATTTCGTTCTCTCTGTTACCACATAAGAAGTGATAAATAGAGCCTGCGAAAGAATTGTTGGAAAGATCTAGGACAACTATATTGGAGGAAATACGAGGTAATGGGCCATTCAGGTTGTTGGATCCTAGGTCGATCACCAGGACAAACTCCAATCTAAGTATGCTTGAAGCATCGCCATGGATTTGATTGTGTGAGAGATTTAAAAATTCTAACTGGGAGGATATGCTCGAGAACCAAGTGGGAATGGTATCTGAAATTCTTGTGTTGGCTATGTTCAATGACCTCAAACCTTTTTGTGATTGAAGCCATGGGGGAAATTCTGACCCTAGCTTGCAGGAATTCAAGTCCACATGTTCAAGTCGAAAAGAAGGAACCCAGTCTCCTCTAGTTTCAAAAGATAACATGTTTTCATCCAAATACAGACGTTTTAATGTTGTGAGATTAGAGAAGTGAACTCAGACACAACACCCTCCAACAAATTACGAGATATTCTCAGCTCTCTCAGCTTTGCAAGTTGCCCTACACTTTGAGGAAGCGTTCCATTCAACTGATTGAAAGAAAGATCTAATATCGTAAGAGATGATAATCTTCCAATGGACACTGGAATGGGACCGGAAATAGAGTTATATGATAGAGAAAAGTAGACTAGATTTCTAAACTGGCCAAGTTGATCAGGTAAATGACCCAAAAACTCATTCAAACGCAAGTTTAACCATTCCAATCGGTTCGAGATACACCCAGAAAAACTCTTGAGAACTTGTGATAGATCTCCACCAAATTTGTTGCGTTTGAAATCAATTCTTTTCAAGTTGCAAAGCTTTCCCCATGATCTAGGTAGTGTCCCTTCAAGTTGATTGTATGACAAGTCAATGCTCCGAGGGAAGTAAGGTTTTTAACATCACTGGATAGTTCACCTTGCAATGAATTGAACCCAAAATTGAGGAACTCGAGATGGTTAAAACCATACAACCAGTTTGGTATAGTAGAATTGAAATAATTGTAGTACAAATTGAGATCTCTCAGGCTTGTCATATTTCGAAGAACAGCAGGAATTGAACCATACAATTGGCAAAAACTGAGGTCTAAGGAAACTAGACTACCCAAACTAAAAATCCCTCCTGGTTGCATAGTTTCGAAATTGTTACTTGAAAGATCAAGGATGGCAAGTGAAGTAAAGTTAATATTTGGTAGATGAGGGATATAAGTAAGTTCACAATTGGACAAGTATAGTTCAACCAAAGAAGGAAGGTTGTTTGTCACCTTTAACCAATCAAATGCTTTGCTTAGGTTCACCCCACTCATAACCAGGTGTTTCAACAAAGGAAGACCAGAAAGCCATTGCAAGTTTTCGGCACTTGCACCGGCGACATCGAGACTGAGGTAACGCAACCTCGAGAGATTCCCAAGTTGATATGGAATGACTCCCCCGAAATTTGACTGAGAAAGGTTTAGATATCTCAAGTTCTTGAGGGAACCAATGAAGCCCGGAATTTTAATCCCTTCAAAGTGGTTGCAGCTCAAGTCCAAGTGCTCGAGGTGATTCAAATTAAGCAACGCAGGGCTTATTTTACCCCGTAACTGAGACCGCCAATAAGCATCAATTTCAGATTCGTATTCGGATTCAGATTCAGCTTTAGTTTCATAATCACCAACAGGTTTAATGTATGGATTGCGCAGGTGAATCTCACTGACACGACCGGTCACGTTATCACAGATAACTCCCATCCATTTACAGCAGTTCTCACCAACCCAGGAGGAAAGCCGGTTTGCAGGGTCTCTGAGATCTTGCTTGAACTGGAGAAGGGCTAACCTCTCATTGTCAACGCAAACTACCTTAGAGTTTGCATTATAGAAACAATTATTAAATACTGTGACAGTGAGAAAAACAAAGTAAACAAAGGTTGTTCCAGTTCTCATGAAATAACCCATGATTGTGGAAAGACGAAAGAGAGAGTTCACAATCTGTGTGTGGTGATATGTTTTATCTACTCGTATCCTGTGGTGCTATTTATAGATAATGATATAAAATGAGAAAATATGCAATTCAGACAACCTGACCTGTCAGGATTCAAGTCAGTCAAAGCATGAATCAGCTCAGCAATTACCAAAACAGTTTGGCTGCTATTGAAGCATCTCAGCAAATGCTGAAAAAATGACAGAACAGGAATTACACTGCAAAATCCTACATTGGAAATAAGTCACTGAATGTCTCGTTATACCTAAGAAAGAAATGGAATTTCTAACAATCGACTTATTTCCTGGTATTTTTGTTTACGGGTTTACGATTACTCTGTTAGCGTACACACAACTCATTCGTTTATGCTCTTATCAATTGAAATATTGTGCTGAAGTTGTTTTCGTTGCTGGGATTTAAAAATTTGACCTAATTTATTGTGATCTTTAAATTGACTATAGACTCTATCAAATATTAGAACTTAATATTGATCTAATAATTTATATTAAATCACATCATTACCTCACTAAATTAAATTAAATTTTTAGATCAAAATAACATTACTTTAACTTTATCGTACAAGTCAACAAAGGTGGGTTACATCCTGTCAGACAGTCAAGAGTTGGTTGGTGGGTTACATTCTATCAGACAGTCAAGAGTTGGTTGGTATGAAAAATAGAGGTCGGTTGGAATGACAAATAGAAACAATATTACTTGGTTTTAAAAATTATCTTATACGATAAAGTAATTTATAATTTAAATTTTAAAAATAAATAAAATAATTTCTATTTTTCGAGATTCAGATCGCTTTAAATTTTATTTTAAAGTTAATCTAACGGTTAATATTAATACCCTAAATTTAATAGAAAAAATAAGGTCATAATAATGTGTTTGAAGTGATTTTTTAAAAATATTTTTAAGAATTATTTCTTATAAGTACTTTTAAAAAAAAAAATATTGTTTGAACCGTCCTACCACTATATCTACCACCACTGCCACCACCATCACCATCACCACCACCATCACTGTCGCCCACCACCTCTCATTCCCACTATAAACCGATACTTAAATTCATTGATCTTTTCTCTATGTTTGTGATTTCATTTTGGTTATGAATACAAACATGTTTATTGTTTAACATTTTTTATTACTCTGTGCCTTCAGGCACAGACAATAACTAGTCTTTATAATTAAGTAGCTTACAATTCAAATTTCAAAAGATAAATAAAATGACTTTTACCATTCACGGTTGAGATCGCTTTAAATTTTACTTTAAAGTTAATTTAACAGCTAATATTAACACCTTAAATTTAATAGGAAAAATAGGCTACTAAGGGTGTGTTTGGAGTGACTTTTTAAAAGTAATTTTAGAAATTATATCTCATAAATATTTTTTTAAAAAAATTAATATTTGAAACTACCCTACCACCACTGCCGTTGCCGTTGCCGTTGTCGCCACCACGGCTACCATCACCGCCATCGCCACCGCGGCCACCACTATCGTCGTCGCCTTCGCGGCCACCACCGCCGTCGTCATCACCACCACCGCCACCACCTCCACCACCATTGTCGTCATTATCACCGTCACCACAGTCATTGCTACTCACCACAACCATCATCATCTCCTACCACCACCTCTCACCCCCACTACAAACGATGTTTAAATTCATTTATCTTTCTTTTATATTTGTGATTTGATTTTGGATATGAATACAAATATATTTATTATTTACCATTTTTTATTATTCTGTGTCTTCAGACACAGGCAATAAATAAAAAATTTAAAAAATAAATTTGATAATTATGACTATGAATTTCACTGTGAGTCTCAATATTTATTAAAACATATTACTTATTTAATAATTATAATTATTTAAACTATTTTTTAAGTCCACGTTGTATTAGTCGATAAATAAAGGTGGGGGCAGCATTTACTGATTTTGTCGACAAAACAAAGGCTAGTTTAATTCAATTCGTTGATAAGTTGTGTTGTCCACTACCTCACCAATTTACATACAGATTCAGGCTGCTGGCTTCAGAGGCGAAGGCCTCTTGATCATTAAGAGGATGAAGTTTTTTAATCAGAAACCAAAAAGTTTGTCTGATATTTGAAAATTGAGAGGTTTTAGAGATATAGTTTAGGTGTTAATCTAACTGTTATTTTTTTTTGTTATTTACTTACGAGTGTCAATATCAATCCCGATTTAATTCCCGAGAAATTTTCGCAACACTATTTATTTATAGTGTCAAGGTCTGGCATTGCCGTACAGAATTGCAATTTTTTCTCCTTAATATGTCTTTCCAAGATATTTTCAATTCTCATCTTCATTATTATACTTGTTGATTGAGTTGTAGAAATTAGGAGTGAAGAGCAGGACTGTTTTGCGAGTCCCTTTTAAGTTTTTCTCTATTACATTACAACTGCCTGCCATTCCAAGGAAATTTCTTCGGAAATTATCAGTGATCCGTGATCGTCGCGTCTTGCGGGTCCAAACTTGATAGCGGAGTAAATATTCAAGACAATTGTGATATTATGTCATTATTAACTTGATGATATAGTATCACTAATTAATAATAAAACTTTAAATAGACTAGGTGAACCCCACTTAGATTAGGTGACAAGAATATTATAAAGTTTATAATACAATTAAATTCATGTTACATATGATAGAAATCAAAATTTTATTAATACGGATAAATTGACCTAAAATACTTTTAAAAATCTAAGATTTATTAAAATAGATAAATTAAAAAAAAATAAAGAATCAAGAAAAATAAAGTCTATGATACAAATAAATTCATTAATGCAAAATTTTTTTTGTTATAATTTAAAAGAAATTGAATATATGAGAGTCAAAATATTCGATAACTATCTCAATCTTGTATTAAATATGGATCTCCGAAATTTTCAAAACTACAACACCACACAAGAACGAGATAATCCTTTTTAGATTTGGAACTAAAATTTTGAAACAATAAAATTTCACTCTAGTGTTGTGTCTATCATTTAGTCAACTTAAACTCTCATTATAATTAATTTAAACAATGATATACATATTTTATTGTCGACATTTCAAGAATATCATGATGCGTGGGGTAAAATTAATTTCAATTTGGAATTTTACAATGTTTTCTACCAAATGGGAAGTATACATGTATAACCCCCCCCCACCACATATATATATATACACATGTCAAACTCACTTTCATTCTAATGATTGCATTAAATTACGTCCAAATAACATATATATATATATATATATATTTATTTATTTATCTCTACCAAATATACATTATACAGTTATTAATGTCGGGAGATGGTGAGATGGATCACAAGGTACGCCATATCAATTGGATGGTATCTGTGTAGTGTAACAAGTTGATTGCACAGTTAACTTGATATGAAACAAAATACACAACATTCTCACAATTGCGGTATTTGATGAGACCGATGTACACGATCTTACCTCTACATATGAAGAGCCTATTCCAGTGATTCGAACCCATGACATGACGCCCTCATCCTAATAGAGTACCTTCTCATTGCACACTCAATTAGCGAAAGCACATAACAAGTGCATGAAATAAAGCAATTAAATATATCATCCCTGTAAGCTAAACATTTGTTCAAACACAAAATGATTAACCAAAGGGAAAAATAAAGTAAGCCTATCTGCGATGCAGATGATGTTACAGATTTAGGCTTTTTTAGGCAATCAAAATTGTACAAATTCTAAGGAAAACGACCATCCATATAACTCAGATACATATAATTATATAAATTGCATTAAGCCTATAAGCCAGCAACTGTTCCTTTCATCAATATGGCCACCAGTCAAAACAAGATCATCTCAATCAATAGCAAGGCCAAAATTCCAGCAAGATCCTCAGTATGGCCTGTACCGAACGGGACGTCTGTACCTAGGAACCCTTCTGCGCACACACACAGACAATAATATTATTACCTGTAACAGTGAGAACATAATTGTAAGCATGGTATTTTGCATTAATAAGAACCATCTTGCTTTCACATTTCAAGGAATTATAACTATTAATAAAGATTTCTTCTCATCAACAAAGAAATCCTCCTGCTTGGCATGAAACCACACCCCTGTTCACAAAATTTCATGGTATGAGATGTGAATACAGAGGGCGGCTTGATAATCGGTCCACCACTGTCTGTCCGGTGGTTAAATTGATGGACAGAACACCATATTTGGGACCTCATTTAACATCAGCCATTAACTAAAGGAGGGGCATACTGTGAACGTTGTTTTGCACCAAAAAAGGGTGTCATATTTAAAGTCAGAGAGTGAGGACAATGGTATAGGAGCTATGCAAGGACATAGCAGCTAATTAGCTGAATAACTCCTAAAGTTCTTCATCCAATCACTTCAAGCCCGAGAGAAGTAAAATCCCAAGATCTTATACTACATGAGAGAAGCTGCATTTACTTGTTTAACAATGATATGGCTTTTACAGTGGGATAGGTTCCCAAGCATTGTAAAAACTGCTGAACTCGGTAATTGGGTAGCTCACCAAATACCCACCACAAAGATTAGATACTTTTCCAACAAAAGATGGACCAGAAAAGTGGTGGTTAAAATAATAATGTTGCTCATGGATTTAAAAACATTTTGAATGATTTTTTTTTTCTGTTTGAAGAATCAAAATTTCCGGCATCCTAATGGAATTGATTCTTGCCTATCCTAGTACAAGGATCCAGACCAGCAACAATACCTCGTGAGAAAGTAATAAGAAGTATTCTTGTGAGGACATCAAATAACCTTGGAATACAATTACTGAAAGATTATAGGATAACAAATATGCACCGACCCCAAGGAAAAAAAGATAAAAAAAAAGATTCATATGTTTTTAAGGTTTATGGTAGCTCTTTCTCTAAAGGACCTCGCTATACGACACATTCCTATGTTAGTCATGAATGACAGAGGAGATGCAAACAAATAGATCTAGCAATGCGATGTTGACAACTAAGTCATATATATTATGTACTGGCACAATATTTTTTGTGTTGTCTGTTGTCACCTTCTGGATCTACTCTGAAAGAGTTCTTCAGTTTTTAATAAGGAGAACCAATGACCTATTGTCCTCAATTACTGGTTCTAATCACCATTCTTTTAAACAAACACAACACGACACCATGCTATATTGGATTATCTACCAAGCATTTCTCAATAAGATATATTCACCTATCAAGAACAAAACCAGCCCTATTGAGTTTTCCAGAAATTCTCTACCACAAGCCCACAGCAAAGGTCTTACACTGCTGCCTCTATTCAAGTGTGATAAGAGGCAAAATTAGAAAAGAAAACTGAGATGCTAAAATTACCACCCAGCCCAATACCATTATAAATGCTTAAAATGAAAAAATCCATACCCTTTTGAAACTCTACTTTTCCAAATCTTTTCATACGTTTCTAAGCAAACCTAAAGCACAACCAGTTCTAATGCTTACCCATATGCATATGGAGGATAAACTGGCAGGCCAGACATGAAGGGCCTTCGGGATCGAAAACCAAGATGTGGGTTGGGATGCCTTCCTCGATATTGTTTCATTCCAGGAACATTAGTTCGCTTAGCTGCTACCTGAGGACATGGTACCCCAAACATTAAGATAACAATGTTGAAATCAAGGTAAGTATCAAAATAATTAAATTCCACAATTTAAGTTCAAAGACCTTCAATTGCCGACCATGCAACTCAGACTCGTTTAAAAGGAGAGCATTTTGAATAGCATCAATTTCCACAAACTCAACATAAGCAAAACCTTTTGGCTGACCAAACTTGTCAGTCAAAATTGTCACTCTGTTGACCGTTCCACAGGACTGAAAATGTTGCTGGACCTCCTCAGGAGTACAGGCATAGTCTACCTGAAGTTTATATTAGAACAAAGAGCAAAATGATTATTTACTCCTACTCAATATTTATCAGAGAGACAGAGAGAAGAATAAAAAAGAAAAGATGTGAAAAAAGGGCTCCAATACAGGAGTACAAAAGAACTATTACACTTCCAAACCTCCAAACAAACTAAAACTACCAGAAAATAAACTATCACCATTGAGTCCAACTGGTGTTCACTAAAATAAGTCATTCTGCATACATTCAGAGGTAATTTTTGGTCAAACAGAAGTAGAAGCATTTGACCGTCTTTACTATACAAAGTCCAAAAGATTACACATTTTAAGATAACAAGGTTCCAACATCCTACGCAAGACAACATGCTCTTTGGATATTATTCACTATTAGTCCCATTTGAGAAGCATAAAATTCCCCTTATGATATCTCTTAAGAAATCGAAACATGAATTTAGTGTATAATTCCCCCTTCCAACCAATCTCCAACCAATGGAATGAAAGCATGCAGCCAAAAGACAACAAAATTTGCAACCAATGTTCGTTCAAGCAAAAAAGAAAGAAAGAAGAGAGTAATAATGATTTGGAACAAGATGAAGGATTGTAAACCTCACATTACCAACATAAATTGAGCGGGAATCCACCTCCTCCTTTTCAGCCTGAACAGCAGAAGCACCAGAAGGATCTTCATGCATGTAACCAAAAAAAGTGCTTAGTTATTTGTAATTGAAAAATTGAGGAACCCCAAGTGACAAAGCCATAAATGGCAAAACAAATAAAGGCATAAGTTTCTTTAGAGATAGAAAATGGGCTACATGGAAAATAGAGGTCAAAAGGCATGATCCAGTTCCATAAGTGGAGGGTAGATCCAGTAAAAACTTAACTTTGATCATTATTTGCATATTTATATAAGTTTGGGAGTGGCAATATAGACAATAGAGAACAATTCTGGTCCACAGACTGTTCCTTGAGTTTAAGTTAAAGATTTTGAAGTTATTATAAGCAAATAATGCATATAGAAGTTTTTTTAAATTTTTTTTGAAAATGTCACACAGCATTTTCTCAACCATTTCTTCAGAAAGAAATACACAATACAAAGCACACCCAGCAGAATGACAGTAATTTAAATCATTTTACAAGCATATAAGGAATGCCAAGGAATCAAGATGACAAGAGGAAGGAGGGCAGTGGTTTAGACATTTCAGATAAATAAATGACATCACCATCATTTGTTTCCATTCCAAATAAAAATTTCGGATGTTATATGCTGCCCACAACCATTTCTTCCTGGCTGAACAAAAACATGTAAGATGATTTAGTCATATACTGTTTGTCAAAAAGGTCCAGACTGGACGATCTGCAGGCGTTGTGTCTCCAGGAGTGCCCAAATGCATTTGAATTAGAGTATTGGACCATGCAAAATTACTCACACAATAACAAGTTAAGAAAAGGAGAGACAGCAACTTCTGGAACATTAGACTCAAGTATCAACTTTATTGCAACTTCCTATATTCTAAATTTACCATTTGCGATGGATTCTTATCACACTATCAATTAGTCCATTCCCTTATTAAGTGAAATCAAGATACGCAACATCGGTTAAAAAAATAAAACTAATAAAAAATGAGCTGGATGCTCCCCTCTCTTCTACTTTTTCCTTGAATAGTTTATCCCCCAATAAATCAACCTCAATCTACTCTCTGAGCTTGACCTCAATTCAATGGTACCAGTTAACTGATTCCTTTGTACTGAGCAAGGTTGTGGGATGACACATCAGGATTTAAAGGCTGATAGCGTGGTGTTTAAGCTTGGGTCAAGCCCAAGTCAAGCATATCTGATCTTGCTCAAACTTGACTTGCCCTAATGCCCCAGAAACTAAGCTAAAGTCAGGTGGTGAAACCAAACATGGTTTTTTTTTTTGGTAGGGTTAGAAAAATAAAAATAGCTAATTGTGAAAAAAAGAAAAAAGAAATAGTTATTAGGAGAAAACAAATAAAAAATTCAAGTAGCTGATTTTGCCCATGTACAGACATGAAAAATAAAAAAATGTATCATGACCATCACCATGAAGGAAAGGAAAACTAAAGAACAAAAAGGAAAAAAAGTTCAGCATACTCTTAAAGGATGGGTTGGACCGTGAAAATGAACTGCGTTGAGCATTTAGATCCCGTCGCCCTTGACCAGCCATTATCGTTGAGGGTATTTAGTACTGCAACCAACCTAGAAAAGTGGATCTATTGAAGCAGATCCACAGAATGAAGCTGTGACCCTCGACCGCGATTCAATTTGAAACCGATCAACTGATACCGATTGAATTGATGAAAACAGAATGAACGGCAAAGGTTTGGAAAGGAAGAGTAGATCTAGTTTAGAAAGTAACGGAAAAATCTACAGAAAAGAAGGGAACCAATTTTCCAGATAGGAATAAAGTGATTTCTAATTAGTTTCCCCTATTGTGAAAATGTGATTGAATTCACCTGACTGACATTTGTTTTTCGATCCAACCACCAACGAACACGTGAGGACACTTGGGGCAGGAACAATTGTGCCACATTGGTTTATTTGATAATTCCCCTTCCAGCAATTGATTAGCCTAATGGACTAGTATCTTAACAATATAGCCTGGTTACCTGTTCCTGGGTTATTCGTTAGTCTGGCCAAGCCAAACAAGAGGTTGCTCAAATGTGCCTCAGTTGGAAAAGGAATCCATTAATAAGGCCCAACCTTGCCTTGCTTTATTATTGAATGAATCCAAAAAGTATCCTACTTAACCAAGGCCAGGTTTCTCATGAACATATAAGTCATGTTTGTAATTCTACTCAAACTAGTGGATGCCATGACACATAATTCATCCCCATGTCCTAAATTAGAGGATGAGATCAGTCCAACACCTAGATTCAAAACCGCTATTAATGAACAGATCAAATTTTGATAAGAATTATCACTTCATGAATATGCACTTTGACCCCTACTTTTGGCATGCTTGTCATCTATTTTCATCTAAATTGTACACTATGAAACTAACGCTATTTGGCGCTTAATATGATCAAACTTCAAGTCTTCAATGAATATGGAGCTGTCAAAAAATGCTTGAAACCTTAAAAGAATTCAAGGATGTATAGATAGTGGACCTTTTGTAAATCATGTCAATAAATGATAACATTTTATATAGATAAAATTTTCACTTTTGTTCATCAGATTAAGATTTCCTTGGGTTTAAATGAAACACGTCATGTTTTGCAATTAGAGATGTGAAAAGAATTTTTTTGAGAAGATTTTCAACTTCTGCTTGTGTATGATGCCTAGGGTTACATTTGATACGCTCTAGCACCAGCAACACTGCGTCTTTTCATACATATGGCAATAGATTTCCTTGCAGAATCCATCATCCAAACACATTCACTTAAAACAACAAAGCAATCAGATTATCCTGAAGACTTTATTGACTAATCTATTCTTGTACCTGAAATTCAATTCAATTCACGAGAAAAAGATCCTAGCATTACTGCTGGACCAAACGGAATATAAGCATAGATCAGCAAAATAACTCATGTAAAAGCACGGCAACAAGCAAAAAAAAACATATAAGAAAGATTCAAATTTGAATGCCTATCGACACAAACTCACACATTCAACAACGAGCAAAAAAACAACATAACAATAAGAAATATTCAAATTTGAATAGCTATCGACACAAACTCACACAATGCCTGCAGAGACACACACACACACATATACTAGCAAGATGTGCGTTGCATGTGAAAACATTTAAATAATAGTTTCTTGTTAAACTTATAGAAAATATAAATTATATATGTAATTAAATTAAATAATAAATTATGTGCCAGGGAATTAATTTTTATTTTAATTCTCGCTAAACCTAGTTATTGATATATTCTACCTCCGCTTTAGTATCTTCGATCTAGGCGTCTCACCAGCCCCTTTAAACATTTTCTCTTTGGAGCGTGATTGTAACATTGTCATTCTTGATTGATTACATTTTGTTGGTATATTATAACATTTTTATATTGTTGCATGCAAAAAAAATTCAAATATAGCATATATTTGATCCTGAATCAAAAGTTTTTCTCCTGACATTTATAACTAATGCGTGTATATATATATATATATATATATATATGCACACACACACACAGAAAGGAGAAATGGTGTGTGTTTGTAGAGTGAGACCTTGAATGGAGGCCATTTCTTTCTCAACTTTGGCTTGCATTTCGCGAAGAGCACCAGCTTCTTCTTCAATCTCATTGAGTCTCTTCTTCATGTCTTCTAAGTCCTATCCAACAGTAAAACCAAACAAATTAGGGCCAAAATACAGACATGTGAAAAGAAGTCTAGAGAGAGAGAGTGAAACAAATTAACCTTAGAATTAGAGTCTTCGTCCTCAACCCTAGAAGACATCTCCACATCCGTGTCCATGTCTCCTTCGTCAGGTATTTCCCCTCCGTACGCTTCGTGTTCCTGCTTTAGCTCTTGATGCTCCATCTCTCTCTCTCTCTCTCCTCTCCTCTCTACAATGTACTGTTTCTTCCTCAGCTCTCTCTCCTCTCTCTATATGTGTATGTGTGTGTATACGGGTTTGGGTACTACTGTGGACTTTGGTGCTGAGTTGAGTCGGTGACCGACGGAGAGGAGGAGAAGGCGAAACTGTTATTCCATTCATTCATAAAGGGTATTTTGGGTTTTTCGAACTGGTTACGAGTTAGGGCTCCAACAGCCCTATTTATATCCTCTCACGCAGCTCACCAACCGCTTCCAGCTAATTCCTTGTCTCCCCTCTCTTCTCCGTCTTCGTCTCTACCTCTCAATCACTGTCATAGCGACCAAAACCAGCCACCCCCACAGCCTACAGTTAGCCACCAGCCACCTTCTGCTCTGCCCTATAACCCAAACCCACATCCACGCAACCCCATTCTGCATATCTCCCAAACTGCCACAACCACCGGCCTGAATCTCTCTTCATTGGCACGACCACTGGCCTTCGATTAAGGTTTTCCTGACGTTTCGACATCGCCAGAGTCACCAGCCTTAAATTCCCCACAGCCATTTTCCTCTGACATTGTGTAAATCTCCGCTACAATTAGGTTTTTATCTTTTGATGGTTTGAATTATCATTTGATCATTGTGCCTTGCCTGTGTATTTTTGTTTTATCTTGTAGACATTTTTTCTTAGTGAAATCATGTTTTGCATCTTTCGTCTTATTCTTTGATGGACCAATTTGTTTTCATGTTCCCCGTGATATTTGGTGTTGAATAGCAACTACTATTTACATTTGGTTCCATCCTACTTGATTATTTCTGCCCAACACTTGTTCACTTCTTTGGTTGTGTTCTTAGTATGTTGAGCTATTTCCACATTGGGATGACTACAGTGCCTTTGATTATACCACCAGCGACCGGGGACGACAGAAGGTGCAGCTCCACCTTGGTCTTGGGCTTTCGGGCCCATATTTGGATTTCGTCTTATTCTTTCGGGCCCCATCTTTCACTAGCACAATTAGCGCTCACAAACACTTAAAACCCACCCACATATAAACCAGAGCTTGTAATATTGTTGTTTACAGGTGGCGCATTGGGGTGAATCTTATGCAAGTCTAGGCCGAGGCTTTGCTTCACTTCATTGTAAGAGAACGACAGTAAAGACTTCTCCAATTTTGGGATAAATCTTAGGCTCATCAAAAACATAAAAAAAGAGTTTGATAGACTCGGTTTGAGTTCGGCCCTAGTTTCTCTTTAGTACAAGAAAATTATTTTAATCTAGTATATTAATTTAATTTATTATTATCACTGAATTGATAGTAGATTCTATGTAATATTCAGATTTATTGTTAATCTAATGGTAATAATGAATTAGATTAATAGATTAAATCAAAGTAACATAAATCTCTCCGATGTATTTATTGTTAGTGGTAAATTACCTTCAGTGTTTGTTCAAAAGAAAAAAAAAATTACCCTCAGTGTATTGGTGGGGAATTACTTGAATTAACGATGAATTGAAATAAACATCTTTCCTTTCTTTTTCTTTTCTTATTTTTGCCCCGTTTTCAGCTAAGAGTCCTAAATCTATAATGAATTATTTTCATTGCAGGCTTGTAACCCCTAGAATCCAGAAGTATAACTTGATAATATCAGTTTGAAATATTATCAAATTTTTTTCCAGACACTGAAGTCCTCGGAAACATCAGCACTCGAAATTAGCCCTTAGTTTGATACTTTTTGTAAGGCATTATTGACCGAGACTCAAGGTCATGAAGAACAAATAACATTGGGTTAATGTCACATTGCACCTTAAAGATGTTTTGATTTTTAATTTACACTCTTTTAAATATTAAAAATTTTAATATTCACCCTTAATGTTATGGATTAATAGTGTTATGAATTAATAGTAATGTGGACTTTGTTTAGATTGTCGCTTAGTTTTTCGTCTTAAATTGATGCATGTGAGTTGCAATTGCTTTGGGCATGAGCTTTTGTATAAATTCGTAGATTGTTGGCGCTTCACGTGAATTGCGCATGATAGGATTAACTTCTATCTGATTAATAAAATTTTATTTTCAATACACAAAACAGTGTCAAATTGATTATAGGCGAAGATATGCAGCGATGTATATACCTCATCCTCATATTCTAAGCATTTACACGTCACTTGTTTCAATTTTTGACGAAAACTGAACGACAGTGTAGGTCAGGTCTACATTGAATGTGTAAATTCATAACATTGAGGGTATAAATTAAAATTTTTATTACTTAAGGGTATAAATTAAGAATCAAAATATTTTTCAGGGTGTGAAGTGAGATTATAACCCAATACCATTTAAGAGATGGAAACTACACCTGAATGGATTTTAGACAACCTTTTTATAGCCTTTCATTATAGTTCGGATTTGGAATACTTTGGCAAACCCTAACTGTCAAAATGTCATCTTAAAATTAAACAATTTCACATCAAGGGGTGACATCAGAGGTTGCAAAATGGTAACAATGGACTTGGGTGACAAATTTGTAAACTCTGGAGAGAGAAAGTGAAGGTTGCAAAAGAGTTGTTGGTGTCTACTGTTCCCCTCTCAACGGCTATATTCAACCCAAAAAATCTATAAAATTACAAAAAGAGAGAAAGGGGAAGGAGGCTTACTTGAAGAGAGAAAGGAGAAGGAGGCTTACTTGAAAATCTATTGGTGTCTACTTCTGAAAATCGAGAGAGGCTTGCCTGAAAATCGCTTCCCTGAAAATCGTTGGTATCTACTGGTTATATGTTGTAACTTCATTGGGAAAGGAGGCGCAGAGGGAACAGGGGAAGGGGAAGGAGGCTTGGGGATAGGATCTGATCAATTACCCCCAATTTACCTTGCGAGATGATGATTATAAGAGTGAAAGATTTTCTGATCCAAATGAGTATTATGCCGGACTCCGTCGAGAGTGGACTTTTCGTGGTAATGAATCACAGTCATTATGCACAGATCTGAGAGAACTTGATATGTCGGTGCCACATAGACTTTCACTTATCATGCCTCGAAAGAATAAAGTCAACTATGAAGCAGCAGTTAAACGTATACGAAAGGAGAATAATAAGATGATGTTGCGTAAGTGTCGATATTATATGCTCAAAATAGCATCAGACATGATGACAACTGTATTTGGCAGGGACTTAACAGCTACTGAGCGCTCTAATGTATTGTCTAATAAACAATACCTATCAGATGAGTATATGTCTGATAAAAACTAATAATTATAATTAGTGTCCACATTATTAAGCATATAACATTTATTTCTATGTCCTATTTATTTTAATCAATATTGTGCATTTATGAGTTTATTCAGTGTGTTGTCATATCTCAACTTTTTAATTGTCACATCTTGTCATTGTCAAATCAGTTCTCAACTTTGCAGTATAATGTATTACTTACTTTAATGTATCTCGTGGCTTTAACAAATCAATGCAGTGTATTATCATATCCCAACTTTTTCATTGACATTTTCCATCATTGTCAAATCAGTTCCAAATTATGCAGATTGATGTCATTTCACTCTAATTTTTAATTGTCAAATCGAGCATATATATACTACCATTGACATTTGTGTAAATGCACTACCACCAAACAAAATGTATGGGAGGACATCACATGCAAGTTCTTCTTCACGCAATGACCAAAATAGTTTATCTTCAGGTAACAAATGTGAACGCTCAACGGATAGCTCAACATCGTTTAACAAAGTTACTTCTATCAAATCATATATTGATTCTAGTGGTATAATGTGGTATGGACAAAAACGTGCATTTCGTAATGAACCAATCGACCCTTATCACCCATTCGAATAAGGTGGACATGTAATTTTTAGGCCTACAACTGATTATCCACCTCCAGGTGCTCATATCGAACTCACACCAAGATGACGACAGTTATATGACAAACGTGTGACATTGAAGTATTTTGTCGTTGGCGTGGTATTGTGGTACCAAAGGCACGTTCGGCTGACATTTAGAATTCACATAATTCAAACAATCATGATGAGGTCATATCAAGGCTTAAACGTGAAAATAATCAAATGCAGTGTTGTCTTGATTGTTTTCATGCACTTGATTATGCTAAAATAGAGCATTTTGATCCTGAATATGCTGAAATTGAAATTTTAGAGGATCCGTTACTTGTTTTCTGATCCTGAACTTTTTGATTTCTCTGACTTGGACGATGATGCGTCTGATAATTTTATTCTATCACGTTTATGTGTACTCGATAATCTTTTATGTTGTTTTGAATATCAACTACGTTGTTAACATTTTATTAAAATATTTACTATCAACAGTCATACAATTAATTAAAAAAATATGTTACCATAATTTAGATAACAAAATTTAATTAGTAATTTTTAATCTCAAAAAATAAAAATAATAAACTATAAATTAAAATTTTATAATATTATTGAAAGTAAAAAAAACAAAAAAAACTTTGTACGTTGATTCATGAATACCAGTATCCTTGAAAGAACAAGAGATTGACATACTTACCAGCCAGTGATTTCGAGAAGACCGGGATAAAATAATCCGAAAGAACTGCAGCAACTTGGCCGAAAAATTGTTCCGATCTGACTTCATACCACTTTGCGTGCGCCGAGAACCATTACTCATGGGGGGTTATCTGTAATTGTTTAAATCAATTATGTTTTGTGGAATGACTCCTACTTTGCCCAGTAAATAAATAGCATCATCACCCTTTTAGTTTAAAGATGATTGGTATTGATAATTGGTACAATGAGTTTTAATTAGGTTTTACTAGTTATTTAATGCATTTCTAGTCGGAAATGTCCAATGGGGTTGATGGAGGTGACTTATGAATGTGTTTGATGCGCACTTTTAGGATGAACAAGTTTATATGGGGCTTTCTAGACCTAAAAGTTTTGGATGTAATGCTTACAGTTTGTATGAGGCCTTAAATTTAATTATATGTATACATTTTCAATTTTTAAAGTTTGACATGCTAAAAAATATAAGTATTTTTAATTTATCAAAATTTATTTATTGAATGTAATTAAATTTTTAAATAAATAACAAAAATTCAACAAAACAGTTAAAATTTGCTCAAAAATAAACATTTTATATTTTACATTTTACATTTATTGTTTAATATTTAACCTTTAATATTTTAATATATCATAATTGTTTTATTAAATAAACATTTAACATTTTACTTAGAAAAAAAAAGGCAGAAAACCTATCACAGTATTATAGAATAATTTAATTGAAATAAAACAATTAAAATTTTAAGAAATAAATTAAAACCTTAGAGAAAACTTAAGAGCAATTTTGACGCCACTTGAATATTCCATTTTAATGGCGTCAAATGGTTTGACGTTTTTTTACTTGACTGCGCCACAACATTTCCTTAAAAATGTTAGTTGGTCTGAAGTTTTTAAGTTAAAGATGTCAGACCGATTTACGTCTTTTAGCTTAAAAACGTCAGATCAAATGACATTTTTAAAACTCCCTAGATTTGAAAATTATTTTCCAACCTACTCTTAACTGAGACTTTTTTTTCAAAAACACTTGATATGGGTCAAAACCCCAGTCTACTCCTGTACAACTTTCCCCTTTGTGTTTATGATCTTGTAGTGAATTGTTTAGTAGTTCCAGACACAATAAATCAATTCAAACATCTTCAATATGATATTAAATTAATTTCAAAACCGATTTAATTAGCCTAAGACACACAAAAAGAAACCCATTTCCTTAAATATTTACAATAAATCTTCATAAATAAAACTCAATGCAAATAACTAAATGCTACCCAAAACGTCCCTTCTCTTCACCTATAAAAGCCCAAACACACCTGTTTCTCATCATCCATAGCAAAAACTTCATTCCCTTTACCTATAAACCACCAAGTTTTCTAAAAGTTTGAAAAAGTGATAACCTTACCATGACGCTTAACACATTCATCGTCGTGGTCGTAGTCTACTTAGCCAGCAATGCAGAACTGCCCTCAATGGCCGCACCATTACCCGAACCATCCGACTTTTACGCCGACTCACCATTGCCATCACCGAAGGGCGTGGCATACTTGGAGACCTGCGTGAAGAAGCTGACCGAGAAGTGTGGGAACGAAGTCTTCTCGGGTGTGTTCGTGAACACACCAGTGACAAAGGAGTGCTGCAAAAACCTTGAGAAGATGGGAAAATTGTGCCACCTTAAGATCGTTTCGACACTTCTCAACGTGCCTCTGGTCCAGGCGACGTCAACCGAGAAGTCGGAGATTCTGTCCAAGAGTGATTATGTATGGAGCCAGTGTGTCTCTGTTGGGCATGTTATTGGAGCGGCCGTGTCACCCTCCTACCCTGAAACCTCTTTCTGAGGAGCTTTGATTTGTGTAATAGTATGCTTAATAAAGGTGTTTGAATAAAAGAATCACACTTGCATTTCATTCCACTTCTGGAATTTCCAAACTCCCAATTTGTTGAATGAGTCACGGCTTAGACAAGCAGACACTAAAATCTTAAAGGACTAGCAATAATCTCGTGTTTCAAGACATTCTATAATATCAAGAATTAAACATTGAATGTATAATATTTATATTTTAAATAGTAATTTATTTTTTTATTTAATTGCATAATTTTAAATTAAAGGGGAAAAAAGAGAAAATAAGAGAGAGGTAGGGGAGGAGAAGACCGATAGATGTAAATTAATGGGGTTATTTGATATCGGAAAGTGTGTTATTTGAGTTGTTTACTATTGGAAGTTGAAAAAAATGATGCTTTTAAGCAAAAAAAAAAAAATTGAGATGAATTTTGTGTTATTGGATGAAAATTAGATCAATTTAAATCGTTATTGTGTTTTTATAAATCGATAAGAATTTAAATTTCTACCCGTAATATTAGGTAGATGGATGAAAGAAAACATAAGCTTTGAAAAAAATTATTTTTTTTTATAATTTTTTATTTCATGCTAACTAAATATATAAAAATTATAAAAAAAAAAATTCTTACATTTTCTACCATTATCCATTACATTTTTAATATTTTATACCATCACTACAACACTACATTGTTCACCATCACTAGTCATGATATCACAACAGGATATTATACACCATCATTTAGCAAGTCTTATTGAGGACAAATCCACTTGTATGATTTACACTAAGATGTCCACATTACACCAAAATATGTATTCCTCTTTTGTTTAAAGCTTAGGAGGAGGAAGCAGCCATTTAGAACCCTGTATGAAGGCAAGGCTGAGGAAGGGCTTAGCATCTGCATCCTTTAGCTTCTTAGCGAACCCAACCCGGCCATTTAAGTTTGATCCGGGTCCCATGCAATTGTATTCTCCATAGTAAACAGTCCTGCAATGTCATCATCACCCTTTAAACAGATGTAATGAAATATACCACATGATTTTTCAAAAGATGAATTGCTATAAAAATGAACTGTTCAAAAAAAAAAAAGCTTTCTCGAAAAAATGAATTGTTTTGACGTACCTGTCATGCTCGGGATTGAAATTATCTGACCATCCTTTAGGGTTAACGACATCGCTCATTTCAGTGTAAGCAAACACCACCTTGGCATAAGGCATCCAAGCTCTGCCCAAGAATGCATAGCCACCTGTGCCGGTCACCGTGCAATGGACAAAAGAGTAACCAGTGTCCTCGTTAGCATTGTGCCTTGCTTGTGCTGTGATCATTGCCACTCCGTCTTTACCAGGGATTACATGGGTCTCGGTATTCTGCGTCAGAGACATTAATTCATACATGTAATTATCAAGAAAAAAGAGAAAATTTATTGTCGGCTTTAGAGCCCGTTACATCCAATATTTACCCGGTCAGGAGGGAGAGAGAGAGAAAGAGAGAGAAGCATGGATACCAGATAGATGGACTTTCCATTGCCAAAGATGAAATCAACAGTGCCTTCAATGTAGCAGTCTTTAAAGAAATGCAGGCCCTTGTCATCACAAAGGGTGTCTTGAAATCCATACAGTTTGCAGTTAAAGAATGAGGCCTTGTCGCCACCGATCCTCAATGCCAACGCCTGCTCTCCACTCTTCTTTCCATCCGGCCTTGGCGAAGAATTCTGATACAACCCCACCACCACCATGCATTAAACCAAAACCAGAAATGTCCATTCCAATATGTATGTATACGGCATACACGTACAATAAATTAAGAAGAATCAAAGAAAGCAATGCAATTATAAACACACCCCCACACTAATAAAGACAAATTATACTTTCACCCCTCAATTATGCCATGAGTTTACTTTGTTTTCTTAACTGTGGAATTTTTTGCATTGCCCTATCAACTATTTGAATGACTGTACATTACCCTAAGAGCAAACGTCCAAAATGTTTTAGAAAGAAAATCGAATGATATTTAGTAAAATACATATTTTCAATATCTACCATTGTGATGGCAATGGATTAATAGTTATAGTTGGATGTGCAATGTGAAAAACTATAGAGCTAATAGAGTCATGTAAAACCAATGACTAAAGTTAGAAGCATAATAATAACAAAGAGTAGCTCAAGTGGTAACAAAAACGAGTTATAAATTTAGGCGTCCTTAGTTCAAATATTAGCAATCTCTTGGGATTAAGTCATGAGAAATTTATCTCTCACTAGTACTTATAATCTTAGCGCGGATGGTCTGCGTTTGACCAAATTAAAGAGAGAATTAGTTGATATATGCGTAATTTAACCCGAACACCTCTGACCGTTAGAACCAAAAATAATAAAGTAAGAAGCAAAATGTAACCAATATATGACAACTATGGCAACAATACGAGAGGCAGGGCATAATTGAGGAGGTCAAAATGCATTTTTCATAAACAAGAAGAAAAACTATAAGAAGAGTTTGTAAGGGGTACGGACCACAAATTTTATGTTAACAGCAGTGAAGTAATCAGATTCAACAATCAAGGTGGCGCTATCCACCGTACCATACTGCGCCGACGTGCCGGCATAAACTAACGTCGGCATGTTATTAGGGTCTCCATAAAATGTGATAAAAGGCTTAGTTCTGTCAATCATGATTTTCTCAGTATAGGTTCCACCACCAATCCATACTATAACCCGATTTGTATTCCCATTTGGAATGCTCTTGATGGCATCGGTCACCGTCTTGAAATCACCACCGCCGTTCTGCCTCACCTTGATGACTTTGGCACCGGCCTCCGCCGTGACCAGGGCAGGGTCTAAGGTGGCCTTCCTACTTTCATGTGGCTTGACATTAGCTTGGAACCAACTGTTTAGTTGAGACTTCACAGCGGGGATTGGAACTGTATCATCGGAGAAAACGTTAGGGACAAAGAGGAGAAGCGATAGAACGACTGCCTCAATGGCTTTGTATGTCCTTTTTCCGGCCATTTTTGTTCTGTAGTAATTGTTTTTAGGATTACACACATGCATTAAATATAGAAATCTAGAGAGAGAAGTGTAGGTGTGACATGTTTTTTAGTGAAGTTTGTGGTTGCGGTTGCATGGTAATTTTGGTCACCCTTCATGCATGGATGATGTATAAGCAAGAAGTTCCATTCTTAGTTCTAAGCTAAAAAGAGGAGCGTAAACGTCTCTGTGGTCTAGGCATCAGTTCACAAGAGGGATCATTATTTTTTATGGCAATTCCCAAAAAAAGGGAGGAGGTGACCGATAGATAATCCTTCGCTGAGCTTGAACTTACTGGTTTATCTTTGTGAAATGTCCGATTTGAATCATAATAACTAATTCAAAAGAGTAGTTTGTCATCGCAACACTACCGAAGTCAAACAATAAATCGTGTTATTCCGATGAATCGAACTCTACTTGATAATCACACGAGAATCCGAGACAAGTCTAAATAGGTACAACTTATCATTAGACCACCAACTTGGATGGTAAGGGCCATTATTGACTCTCTAAGTCTTTTTGTTAAAACTCCATATGTTTATATGAATGGCTGCAAAAGTAATTTGAGAAACTTCTTATGATGCTCAAATGCTCCTTTTGATTTTTTTTTTCCTCAAAGACAAATTTTTAACTAAACGAGAGTTTTAATTTAGTTGTGCTTGATATGCTCAAGCTCGAGTCAGTTGTGATCGTCCGTCACCCAATTGTCAAACTCAAATACTTGCTCAAATTCAATTCCGTAAAAATTTAAGTGTAAAACTCGAATCAAACTAAATTCAATTGATTAGTTAAATCGTTTGAAAAATCCTACTCTTAAACTAAATAATCAATCATAAAAAACAAATAGTTTCTCATCACAAATCTTCCAAAAATTGGTATAATTAATCAACCCTAGAATTGAACACTACTAGTTAAATATCAAAAATCTACTAGAGAAGATAGGGAGAGAGGAAAACACATATGGATAAGAATTGTTTGGATTCAATGTATTAACAAAATTATCTAGAAATGTGAATCAAAGTTGATTCATTTTGTATTTTAAAGTGAGCCAAAAACAAAGAGAACTACGTTGATCGCTCAACACTACATAAAATTCCTTTGATCTGTTTAAGAAAAATAAAAAGTACTTAAAATTTACAGAACAGAAGAACAAAAATAAAAATAAAAATAAAGAGAAGAGAATTAGAATATTCTGAAGTACAATGCCTCTTCATTGTACGTACATCATGCCCTCGACCAAAAACAACTTGGGACAAACTCCAAAATCATATCTAGCTCCATCTTTTGTATTCTCCTACCAGACATACATTTCAAATAATTCTATAAACCCAACCTTCTGCTCAATGTTTCCATGAGTCAACACAGGCAACATGATCTGACCAATGAAACCTCGCCGTCTCATTGGTAGATAAGCTCCGAAACCTCTTCCAATCATGAATAGCAGCCGTCAGATCAGCCACCTTTGCGGTTATACTCCGACAACAATTCGCATGAAAAGTTATCACAACACTAACGTCTCTACTGTTTTCACAGAATCCACTGAAGTAAAGGGTGTCCAAGAACCTAACCCTAAGGCCTAATTCTCTGAACAAACCATCGTGAATCAGTCTCTGAAGAACGTCTTGTTCTTTCATTCCGGTGGAGTTGTCTTTCTTCTCGTACAATTTTTCAAAAAGGGTTATAGTCTTCTTGTTTGATCTGATCATGTAGAAGCCTGTGTTGATGGTGTTTGATTCCGACCATGGGTCGCCAGAGAACTCGTCGGTGCTGATTTGGAGGTCCATGGTTTCGTTTAGGCTCAGCCTTGGGAATGGATCTCTTAGCCACAGTACATCAGTGTCCTGTCAAAAAATTTAAGCACATTCATGTAACTTAGGATGATAAACTAATCAAGAATATGAAAATTCTCAAAGGGGGTTGTTTAGGATCTCAAATTTCTAGAAGGGAATTAGAGAGAATAATTGAGCTAAGTTATTTGGGTTCGGTTTGAACTCGGTTTGAATAAGACTCAATTTGAGCTCATAATTTTTTAAACATTTTAAAAAAACGAGCTTAAAAAGATTTGGACCGAAACTCGTAAAACTTGACTCATTTATAAATAAAATAATTAAGTTATTCAGGCTCGATTAGTTTTGAACAATTTTTAAGCTCGTTTAAAAAAACTAGCTCAAACTCGTTAAGTTCAGCTCGATTATCAACCATATAAGGAATCAAACCTCAATAAGCAGATTTAGCACCCAAAAGATATTTAAGTAGCTGTATGAAATTCTACAAAAAAATTAATGTTTTCTAAAAGCCAAAGTAAATGAAACATTAAGCCAGTCAGTTAACCACAACTACCATCAATTAAGAGCCTTTTTTATTATGTTTTAAAAGCATATGATCATGTTTGACCATGCTAAATATGTAATAATTATGACATTATTTTCAAAATTGTACCATTCACAATTTAATTCATTGTTTATGGTTGTTTTGATACGATTCCCAATACAAATTTTAATTTAATAATTGTGTTTATGAATGTATACGGATGGATTTTAAACGTTTTTGCTTCTTTATATATCAAAACAAATTAATGATTAAATATCAAAAACCAAATAACGAATGTATAACAAACAATTTTAAACTTTTTCTCTATTTCTGTTCTTGAAGACGGAGCATCCCCGATCTCTCCTAGTTGATACAAACTATTCCTATTGTAAAACCATGATGCAATTACTGTATGATATGATATAAAGACATACCGTAAAGATGAAGTTGTAACCACGTTTGAGCACTTCACCGAGAAATAGGGTTCTCCTCCACATCATCTTGAGAAAATCACTAGACATGTACAGTTTCTCGCCTCCAAACTCTACACCATCTGTTTCAAGCTTGTAGCAGTGGAGCCGGAGAAACTTGCACCGTTCATAGGATGTTTGATCGACGGCAACCATCAACAGGTGATCGGTTAAGGTCCGAGTATCGTCGCCAAGCCAGAAACCATCCAAGAATAGATCGAGCATTGACTTGTCTCCCTCGACGTAGGCTTTGTTTATAATGGCGATTATCACTGTCTTGTCTTGTGTTGAAGCTTTGGCCAATGCCTCATCAAGCTCATCCCTCTTGATGGTCATGTTAAACTGCAATTTATGACAAGATGAAAACCCCATAGGTAGGAGGACGTAAAGCCAATGGTCAACACACAATCCTACATAAAACTGCATATTAAAACCCAAATATAAAAATAACTGAAGACTTAAAATTGATGATAAAAAATATAATTCGGGTTGATTCATTGATCGAACAAAGATGACACCTAAACTCACTCGTTCGTAAAAATCATGATTTAATCGATGCATATAGTTTACAACCAAATTTTGTATTAAAACCATGAATTCAAATGACAAACAATTTAGACGAATACCCGATACCCAAAAATAATCTCAAACCCATGCATAGGTTTCCTAAAAGTCAATCAAAATATCTTTAAACCTATTTTCTCTGTGAGTGTGTGTGTTGGGGTTGGGGGGGGGGGGTAATGAAAGAAGGGTTCTTACTGTCTTTGAGATTTGAGTCTGTTGACACTGAGACTTCTGGAATGGAGAGAAAAGCTGCCTGCCCTTTTCAGGGTTTGAGATGAAAATATACAACACACCAACGATCAAAAGTATCAACACTACTGTAACACTGTAAAGATTTTTCTGGTATTCCATGTGTTTTTTTTTCGATTGTAGTCGGCTATTAGGCTGGCGGAGATCTTGTGAATGATGGAGTTGTGTAGGAGGACTCTTCGGCCTTTCTTTCCAAAATAGAGTCCAAGAAGGGCTTGACTTCCGTTAAGTCTTGACTTTCCAAGAATAGTAACAATATTCGAAATTAATTACGGAAAATGCTAATACTATTTAATTAATAATCAACGTTCTAATTTATTAATTTAATTTATTGGACATTATCATTGCATTGACAGTTCTAATGTTGATGAATTAGTTTAGCAAATCAAGACTAAATAGTAGACATGTGATCATTTTTCAATACATTTTTTTTCCTATTTTTCTTTTTAGTAGATCATCTATCATGAATTCAAGTGAAATATATATTATATATAAGTGGATTTCTTATTCATTATTAATAATACCAAAATATAAAATTAAAAAAAATATTGAAACAGATGTTATTCTCTTCTTGGTGTTTCTTTTCTTTATTATATCCTGATTTGAAACTAATTACTTAGAAGAACATTATCCAAACTTAAAAATTTGATTAACCTATTGATTTTATTATAATAATTATATTTGGCCGTCATTTACTAACCTAAGCCATTATAAACATTAGATTTAATAATAGGGCCCAACAAATAGTGGGTTCAACTATTAATCATTCTATATATGATTAAGTCAATAAGCCGAATTAAAGTAGACTTTGTTATTGAGATAATTCAAATTTTTAAGTTTTACTAAAGCGGATATTTCTGTTTATCCAGAGCATAACAACGGTAAATATCGTTTAGATTTCATTATTTATATTCTGACTTGGATAAAATGGCAAATAATTTGAAGTTTTCACATCACATCCCAAATACAAATAAAGAAAGGTTGGGGGGTTGAAGTGAGAGAAACTCCTCGATTTTTCACTTTGTGCCACAGGGGAGACAAACTTCAACGCTGGTGGTTTTGGGGAAGAGACAAACAGGGCAAGTTTTTGAAACGGCGTCGCATCTCACACAGACGCACACGTGCCTACAAGGCCACATCATTACCGTCGCGACTCTCTTCTCACATGCTTTGCACTCGAGCCTCACTGGGTCGACTCGGTCCGGGTCAACAAACGACGATTCGGCAGCCTCTTCTTGATGCGCCTCTTTGCAACCGGCGCATCCTAGCTCTCTCACTTCATCCGTGCTCCCACCGCGCAATTTTGCTTCGTGCAATGACGCCCTCAGAGACCAAGTCTTTTCCTCCAGATTCTCCACCTGGGCCTTCCAAACCTGCGCCTCCATTCTAAACTGCGCCACCTGCTGTTCCAACTTTGCGTTTCTACGCATCGTATTGCCAAGTTCCAACTCTTTCTCTTTCAGTTTCTTCGTTGCTCTCTCTTCCGCTGCGCACAGGAGCTCACTGTAGTGCTTCCACCACAAGTCTGCTAAAGTGCGCCGCAACTGTTCACCCTGCATATATTCATCCACCCATAACCCACTAAAATTACATACATAAAAATGTAAAATCGAAAAATAAGAGTAGCCCATGAAGGAGTGAGAGAAGAGATTACGTGGGTTTTAATCAATTGGTCAATTTGATCACTTTGTTCTTGTATATTTGAAGAGAGATGATCATCTGCATGGCCTTCGGTTAATAAGGATGTGAATGACTTGAATGGCATATATATCTTCTGTGGTTGGGGCCCTTGGGGGTGGCTATTGAGGTCGAAGCAAAGAGCTTTAGAGACGAGAGGTTGCGAAGGAGATTGGTGATGGAGGGATGAGAAGAGATTGATTGGTGGTGCAGAAACAGGTAATGCAGTTTCGGTAACTTCCTTCATCTTCCTCTTGCGTGAATCGTTAGCCACTGCAAAGATTTATATCATTAATAGGACGGAACTACATTTACATACAAGTTATATGTGTATATGTGTGCGTGTGCGTGTGCGTGTGAGAGAGAGAGAGTGAGGGTACCTCCATTGTTGAGGAACATTGCAGATTGATGGCGAGTTCCAAGCGGAAAGGGCAGTTTTATTACTGGGCCTTGCAGCTTTCTGCAAAAGATTAAAACATCATAAGAAATTATCATAGGGCATGACATCAAATAATTGAGAGAGAGAGAGAGACCTGTTAAAGAACAGAACGTGGGTGAGCGATAGGCATTGGTCATGAAGGTCATAGGAGATTATAAAGAGAGTGAAACGGTGCAACCGAATGATAAACAAGGAAAATAGGTATATTACGAAGGGACGCGATCAGGCTGCAGCTAATCATTAATGTTCGCAAATCTTTCCACTTGCAATGAAGGATGAAACGACGCCAACCTTTTTAAATTTATGGAAAAATTACATTCAGACCCTTTAAAATTTATTATTTAATCATTCAAATATCTTGACATTTAAAATATTATACACTGATCCCCTGATGTTTGTAGATATGAAACACTCAGACTTCTATTGTAAATATATCCGTTAATAAATTACACTTAAACTCTTCTATAGTTTGTGGGTATTTAATACATAGATCTTTTAAATTTAAAATATTATATTTAGACAAAAAATACTCCAATTAAATATAAAATATAAAATATTTTAAATTTTACAACCAAAATTCATATTCTATTGTATCATTTATTGAAATAAAATTAAAAATAAAATTTTAATTTTTTCTTAAAAAAATAGTAATTAGTATACAATTATACTATCTATTGAAATAAAACTACAAAAATCAAACAAAGGATCTAAGTCATTCATAATAGAATATGAATTTTACATTTAAAATTCATGTTCTATTATGTAATTTATTGAAATAAAATCAAAAATAAAAATTTATTTTTTTTGAAAAGACATAGTTAGTATATATTTATATTGTCTATTAAAATAAAACTAAAAAATTAAACAAATGATCAAACTATAATGGTCTCAATATCTTTTAGATTTAATTGGAATAATTTGGTATTTTAATTTGGCCATTTACACGACTAAATTAAATTCTAATAGACAATATAATTGTATACTAATTACAAATTTTTAAAATAAAATAAATTTTTTATTATTGATTTTATTTTAATAAATGATACAATAGAACATGAATTTTGATTGTAAAATTTAAAATATTTGATTGGTGTATTTTTTGTCTAAGTATAATATTTTAAAGTTAAAGGGTTTAAGTATTATATACTCGTAAATTTTAGGAGAGTCTAAATGTAATTTATTAAAGAATATATTTACAACAAGAGACTAAGTGTTACATGTGTATAAATTTTAGAGGCTCTGTGTATAATATTTTAAATGTCAAGGAGTTTGATTGATTAAATGATAAATTTTAAGAGGTATAGATGTAATTCCTCCTAAATTTAGAGACGTCAAATTATGGACAAAATTACAATTACCCATTTCTTCTAAATTCAAATTTTACAAATATTTTAGAGTTAGGACACGTGAGATTTAATTCTCGTGAAAATTTTAACTCAACGTGGATAACCTGATTTTGATCAAATCAGAGAAAGAATTAGTCGGTACACGTAAATTGATTCAAACACTTTTCACCGTTAGGACAAAAAAAAATTACACTTACATTCCTAAATTACGTGGCTGCTAAAATATTATGAACAATTATTTTCTCATGTTACACTTAAAATCTTAATTTGAGTTTCACATTATTCAAATTTATCTAATTTTCACAGAAAATCATGACAAAAATGGAATCTCACCATATTAAGAGATATGACATTTCCCTTATCAGTCGATTAGAATTTCATTTTTTTTTCTCTTATTTGCCATGAATAATTGAATAAAAGTCGATGATTAGGATGATGTGAAACCCAAACTTATTATTTTTCTGTATAAGAAATTGGATTGTTAGGGTACAATCGGGAATGAGCAATTAAAAGATTTTGAATTTTCAAAAATAGGATTGTTATGGGCAAATTATACTTTCTACACTAAAAAAAATTAAGAATTATCATTTTATGCCCTAAAAAATTTAAGAATTTTTATATTGTACTCTCAATGTATCAAAAGTATTACAATATAAACTTGTCATTTGTTTTTGTCACTCATTGCGTCAATGTCAATAGAGGAGTGGTTGACGGAATAATCAAGTAAAATTAACGGAAGGGTCACGTTATAATAATTTTAATATATATATATATATAATATGAAAAAATTTAATCAATACAAAAAAAAATTAAGTTTTTCAAAATACAAAGTGAAAAAAGTTCAAAAAAATATTCAAAATCCCAACAAAGTGTTAAGTCACCCAATCAGAAATTGACACACACATGGATTAATCTTTTTTCCCGATTTGATTAAAAGAAGATCAATCATATCGAACTCTCTTAAAACTTGGTTTAAGAGGTTGTGAAGATTTCAATTTTAAACAACCGCCAGTATTACTACCATTTTGTTGACTTTTATTCGCCCAATGAGAAAGAGGGTAGTTAGGTGTACTACCCACAATTTAAGAAGCCAAAGGGTGGTGCCTCAGCTCTTTGCCGCCTCTCTCAGCCCAATTCGAAACACTCGAGAAACAGAGATATGGTTGCAACGGCTACACCCACTTCGCTTTTGTGCGCTTCTCTTCCCTACCAAGGTTCGCCATTGAATCCCCTCAACCAGTTCGTTCACTCTCTCCCTCAGCCCTCTTTCTCTCTCTCTCTCTCTGACATTGTTTTTAATGGTTGTATATAGCAGGGTTTTGTGGTTCAACTCAGAGCTTGCAGTGGAGAAAGAACGAGGTAAGCTACTGCATTTCTAAACTTTCTTCTTGAAATGTTGGCAAAATTAGATTATCCGTCTAATTATAAGTTATGTTTGCGATATTTTCCGTAAAAGAAAGATTGGTCTAATTCAAGTGGGAAATCGACTGCATGAGCAAAATATGAATGAATGGTGTTTGGTAAAATGCTTCTTCCAGGAGTTGGAATTTTGGACTATCATGAGAAGAGGCTAGACTCTTTGCGCTTGATATGTGCTCGTCTTTCTAACTGCATCGTATTCAACGTGACCCTTACAGTACTGTGGTTGCCAAATCAGCAGCAATTCTTCCTGTCTATCAAGAAAATATTCAATGTAACTGTTACCTCACGTCGATAATGTCCTGTGATGTCCGCCGGATAATAAGCCAACAACTGGGCCAGTAAACCCCACAAAATTTATTAACTAATCATCAATCCATGTAATATAATAACTATCCTATATAAAGAAGTGGGTTCACCTTGGATGGTGATAGTACGTGGCAGTATTGACTGCTAACATTAATGAAGAAATTTTGTGTTTTGCAGACACGGTTTATGAGGAAAGCTGGGCCCATTCAAGTTACTGCAAAAATTCAGCTAAAGCCGCCTCCATACCCACTGGTAAAAAATTCAAAATTTCGAGATTGTCTTCTTCTTTCATCTTGTCCAAACATTAAATTTTTCTTTCTATCTCTTTCTTGAATTATGGTTATACAGTGCAGTCAAGCTAAATGTGTTTTGATCAGCATTGATGCATTTTGTTAGGTTTTTCTCAATCAGGGTTCTTAACAGTATCTTGAGAAGCAGATTTGATTACCTAGCCTTATGTTTGACCTTATATTAGCCTTGTTTAACATATGAAGAGAATTAAAGAAATCAATAGAAATATCAAAAGCTCGTGGTGATTTTACCAAACACTGCAAATTCTTTGAAATTGTTGAATCAATATTGCTCGTTGGCATCATTTTAAATTTATAATGAATGGATACTTGGCAGAATGCTTTGGAGCCACATATGAGCTGCGAAACATTAGAGTACCATTGGGGGAAGCACCATAGAGGTTATGTGGAGAACTTAAACAAGCAAATAATGGGAACTGAACAAGATGGATTGACTTTGGAAGACATAATACTTGTTACCTATAACAAAGGAGATCTCCTTCCAGCCTTTAACAATGCTGCACAGGTATGCAAATCATGTAAGCCTTCTATTCAATCTCTTTCTGGTGAACCATGAGATTAGCTTTTCATAATGAAATTTCTGAATTTTCACTAGATTTTGGGCTTGTTGATAATCTCCATCTCTGTAGATGAAGTAGATTTGCAATTTATGGTTTAATCCTGTAATGTTTAATTATGTTTTGAATTTTTTTACCCAACTGAAGATCTGGAACCATGATTTTTTCTGGGAGTCTATGAAACCAAGCGGTGGAGGAAGGCCATCTGGAAATCTTCTCGAACTGATCAACAGAGATTTTGGTTCTTTTGAAGGATTTGTCGAACAGTTCAAGTCAGCTGCAGCCACACAGTTTGGTTCTGGCTGGGCTTGGCTTGCATGTGAGTGGTTTCCTTGCCCTCTTCCTATAGAGGGCATTTGTTTTGCATTCCCAATGATATTCTGTAATCCTAGCTAAATATTATATGAGATGATTGCTCTGTATTTCTTGTTTTCTAGACAAAGCGAATAGACTCAATGTTGGAAATGCTGTGAATCCTCGTCCATCAGAAGAGGACAAAAAGCTAGTGGTAGTGAAGAGTCCCAATGCCATAAACCCCCTTCTCTGGGATTACTCTGTAAGTACTTATGGCTGATCAAGTTTTCTTATTCTCATATGTGGATGATATCAGTTTGGATTTACAACAGTAGATCGTTTTAGATTATTATCCTTGAGAATCTCATGATATTGTTGTTTCCCAATTGTTGCAGCCTCTCCTTACGATAGATGTTTGGGAGGTAACTCAATATATTGACAACTTACACCTGATTGCTTCCCTTTTTTTTTCAATTTTCTGAGACAATTATATTTAAATACTGACTAATTTTTCTTACATTTGATTTCTCATGACAGCATGCTTACTACCTCGACTTTGAGGTAATGCGTAGTTGATGAAATAAGATTATGACTAACAACTTTCATGAAAGACTGCTGTATATACCACGACAAAAGTAGCATTTCTGATGTTTCTTCTCACAGAACCGACGGGCTGAATATATATCAGTTTTTATGGAGAAGCTTGTATCATGGGAAACAGTCATTTCCAGGCTAGAAATGGCAAAGGCTCGAGCTGTAGAGCGGGAAAGAGAGGAAGAGAGGAGGAAAAGAGAGGAAGAAGAGGAGAGTGCAGCAGGCAGTGAAGCTGTAGAGATGTACTTGGAAAGTGAGACAGATGATTCAGAGGCTGAATGATTTTTGCTACTTCAATTGTTTGCTGTTAAAGTACCTACAATGAACTTGATTGTGGCATAGAGATCACCTAAAGCGGTATAAGTATAATCAAGATTGACATGTTTTGCAACAACACCCTGTTCTGATGGTTCTTCCAGATGTACATTTTTCTATTTGGAATGAGCAGAAATGTACTATGTACTATCAAGTTAATACAATTCTATTGACATTCATTCAAATTTTACATTGGCGAGAACCTTGTGCAATGAGCTTAGCTTAGGATAGCAGATACAACGAGTATTGATGTGATCAGGATCAAGTGTCCACAAATTCAATGTTCATGGTGGAACATGGGGCAGTTGAAGAATGGGAAGCATTAAAAGATGATCAAGTTCTTCAAGAGCTCCACCGTGAACAATGGACTCGTGGCCCCCACAGATTTAAGAATAATGAAATGCATACGTGAAATAAAACGCTTGTAATGCAAAACAAAATCGAAGCAACAAATTTCATGTTATTCAGAAATTTAGTACACATAATGATCCTTAAACTATGAATTTTCTTTTTCAAATGTGCCCCCTTTTCTTTGAATTGTTTCAATTTGACGCTTGAATTTTTGTAACGTTTCAATCAATCCCTTTCATTCATTTTTTTTTTTTTTGGTTTGTTAGAATGTGTTTAGGTTTGTGCCAAGTACTCCCTCGACCTCAACGATTGGCCAATGTTACTTAAATTGGGCTAGAACATGTTCATAAAGGGACAATGACAGTTAACTCTTTGAAAACGTGAAAAGAGATTGAACCTAACACCTCTAAGTTACTAAAGATCAAACTCTAAAGATCAAACTCATGTTCATTCAACTGCTATCGTTAGGAGCAAAATAAGAATATAAAGTTTCTACAACTTTAATAATCGCTCATTTCTATGTCTAAAACCTTAATTTCGTCATATAAGAATGTTGTAGATGCGAGAATTAACAATTATCACTTTGGTAAGATTTTGTATCCTCATTCTAACCCCTACCAATAGCACATGATTCTTGCATGGGTAAAATTGTCCAAATTGATTCCTAAATTAGGAGAAAATATAAAATTCAATGGTGATAAATATTAAAATGATATCACCAACCAATAATAAATTCTAAATAAACAAAGTAAACCTCACTTGGATAACTTTTTTTTTCCTAAAATAGGCCAAAGAGATCAATTGAAACGATTTTAAAAATTCAAGGGCTAAATTGTAATAATTGAAAGTTATTTAACGATATTTTAAGTCTGGGTTTTTTTCACTCTTTTGTGTAGTTTAGAGCAGACCCGTTTCAGGTTTTGAGTGGTGACGTGATCAATTTCATGGCTGCCACTCCCAGTTCGCATAGACGAAGAATCTCTCTCTTCAGAAGTCTATTCCTTGAATCCATTCGAAAGTGTCCCTTTCCATACCTATCTCCGCTCAGATACTATTCTTCAGAACCACCTAATCACAACATCGCCACCGTTGACGACGATGACCACCTCAGTGTCAAACCCAAATCATCAACCAAAACCAAAAGGGCCAAAACTATGGCTCGTCTCATCAACAATAAACCCTGGTCATCAGACCTCGAATCGTCTCTCACTTCTCTCTCTCCCACTCTCTCCAAAACTACCGTCCTACAAACTCTCCGCCTTATTCGTACCTCATCCAATGCCCTTCATTTTTTCGACTGGACCCAACAAAATGGATTCACCCACGACGACCAATCTTTCTTCCTCGTGCTCGAAATCCTCGGCCGAACCAGGAACCTCAATGCCGCTCGGAACTTCCTCTTCTCAATCCCAAGAAGGTCAAATAATTCCATAGGGCTCGTAGACAAGTACTTTAATAGTTTGATTCGAAGCTACGCTCGAGCCGGGTTGTTCCAGGAATCGATGAAAGTGTTCTCGAAAATGAGAGAAACGGGTATTTCACCTTCCGTTGTTACTTTCAATAGTCTTTTCTTAATTTTGCTTAAACGTGGTCGAACTGGGATGGTATATAACCTGTATGATGAAATGCTTAGTACGTATGGTGTTGCGCCGGATACATTTACTTTTAATATTTTAATTAGAGGGTTTTCTATGAATTCAAAGGTTGATGAAGGGTTCAGGTTTTTCAAGGAAATGAAGAGGTTTAAATGTGACCCTGATGTTGTTACTTATAATACTCTTGTTGATGGCTTGTGTAGGGCTGGGAAGGTGAAAATTGCGCATAATGTGATAAAGGGTATGCTTAAAAAGGATTTGAATTTGAAACCTAATGTTGTCTCTTACACAACTTTGATTAGGGGTATTGTGGTAAACAGGAGATTGACGAGGCTTTGGATGTTTTTAGAGAGATGGTTGACCACGGTCTAAAGCCGAATAGAATAACTCACAACACTCTTATACAAGGCCTTTGTGAAGCACAAAAAACTTGATAAGATAAAGGAAATTTTTGAGGGAACTGGAGGGGATGGAGTATTTGTTCCAGATACTTGTACCTTTAACACATTGATGAATGCTCATTGTAACGCTCAAAATTTGGATGAAGCATTGAAAGTTTTTGAGAAGATGACGGAGTTAAGGGTCCGACCAGACTCAGCCACATACAGTGTTTTGATTAGGAATTTGTGTCAGAAAGGGGATTTTGAGAGAGCAGAGCAGCTATTTGATGAGCTAGCAGAGAAGGAGATATTGTTACTTGATGTTGGATGTAAGCCTCTTGTTGCTGCATACAATCCCATGTTTGAGTATTTGTGTAGAAATGGGAGAACTAAGAAAGCTGAGACAGTGTTTAGGCAGCTAATGAAAAGAGGAACACAGGACCCTCCTGCTTACAAAACTTTGATCATGGGGCATTGCAGGGAAGGTAACTGTAAGGCTGCACATGATCTCTTGGTTTTTATGTTGAGGAGAGACTTTGTGCCTGATGTTGAGACTTACGAGTCCCTCATTGATAGTCTGTTGCAAAAGGGTGAACCTAATCTTGCCCATGATACTTTGGAGAGGATGCTGAAAAGCTCTCATATTCCCAAGACATCTACTTTTCATTCAATTCTTGCAGAACTTGTCAAAAAGGGCTCTGCTCGTGAATCTGCTAGCTTAGTGGCGTTAATGCTAGAGAGAAAAATTAGGCAAAACATTGATCTCTCACAGACACTGTGACACTACTCTTCAAGAGCGGCTTACGGGATAGGGCCTTTGAGATTGTTCGGGATCTCTATGGGAACGGCTATAAAGTGAAGATGGAAGAGTTGGCTGTTTTCCTTTCCCAGAGTAGAAAGTTATTAGAGGCTCATGAATTGTTGCTATTTAGTTTGGAGAAGGATAAAAATGTTAAATTAGAAATATGCAGCACGGTTATACTGGTCTTTGTAAAATTCGTAAAGTTTCT